TATATATACAATTGCAAATATAAAAGCAACACATGATTCCATATGTATCTCTGATCTTGTTCTCATTTCGGTCCCCGTTCCAATTACACACTCAAGAGCCAAGTTTGAAAAATATTCGAAGTCAAAAGTTAAATCATGTTCCTATAAGGTGTCTAAAAAGCTTCAAAGTTGATTAACGATAATATAATTGCAATTGTTCCCAGTTTAATGTTCATGAAAATTGAAAAAGGCCAACGTTTACATAACGTTTGTTGGAACTAACTACATTTTTAAGAGTAAAATATAAGTAAGAATCACGGGTAACTAATGCATGAGGAACATAATTAATAACAACCACGGTTATGAAAGGACATTAAAATTAGAGTAATGATAAGGGTCTTTAATAATGCATAAAGTCATAGTGTATGTTTGATTGCCCAAGTGCGAAATTGATTTTGAATAACTTAGTTTTCTAGAATTAATTTTAATTAAATGTAAGTTTGAAGTTAAGTGATTTATGTGTAGAAAATTTTCTTTTAAAAGTAAATTTGTAATAAAAGTTAATATAGAATTTTTAATTTAACTTAAAACACATATCACATTTATTTAATTTTTTTAGTTTAAAAATAAAACTAATTTTAATATAAAATTATCGAACATGTTTTCATTTATATATTCAAACATAATTTTAGATGCTTTGAACGCTCATCCAAATATGCTTATAAATTCAAAGTGGATTGTGTATCACCATTATAAACGAAAAAAGAACGGAAAACCCAATGAGGAGTTGATTTTTTTAAGTACTGCATTATAATTTAATAATTTTAATTCTCTTATATATTTTTCTCTTAGAGAACCTTGAATTGGAGATGCTAATTAATACCATAAAAATATGAACTTGTTATAATACTGTTTATTATTTATAAAATAAATACTAAATAAAAATATATTTTACTAATTTTAAAATATAAAAATATGTTTATTATAATAATTAAGAGATATATTGACATAAAAGTTAAAAAAGTTTAAAATTCTCCTAAAAATATAGATCACCGTGTGAGCACTACAAATTTGGCAACCAAAGTAACGAAGCCGTACTTATATAAGCCACTGGTTCCCGTGGGTAAAAAAAGGGGTTCATCCAGTACTATTCTTGACTATTTTAATTTTTTAAAAATAACTATAAAATATCAAGATACAAGATAATTTGTTAAATTTATTTGAATATTTTTTAGAATTGCAGCAGTAGAGAAAAAAAAGAGCTTACATTATATAAAATATGTAAAATAGGTAATGTATTAAAGTTATATAGACTCACTCAAAAATAAATAGTTAAGCAACTTTAGTAAGTAATGTACAGAGATGCTCTCATATTCCTTTTACACCTGTTTCTCTAATTATTTTTTAGTTTAAATACTATTTTGATAAACAAAACTCATTTTCTTACTTGATTTTTATAAACAATTTTTTAAACCAAAAAATATTTTTAAAATAATATCTAATGTTAATATTTGTACAACGAAATTGCTTGGTATTTAAATATTTTTTATTTTAATTCTTATGCATCACATTTTCGTTTTGAAACAAATGTAAGTTAACACAAAGTTAATTAAAGTTAAACTTAAACGAATTAGTATGCATTTTAAATTATTTAGTATAGAATAATATTTTAAAAGGAGTGCTCAAATTAAAATTCACGTAAACTTTGACACGAAAAAATTCATTTGTGCAACTTTCATGTTCATCAACATAAAAAAATAACTGGAATATCAATTATTATTTAATAGAAAATAGACATAGAAAAATAAGAAATACTACAAAAAAATTATCGTTCTTAACATATAAAAATAAAATATTGAGATAATTTTTGTTATTAGAATATTTGTTTAATAAAAAAATTATTAATATAAACATTAAATTTTATATTAATTAGTATCATATATATGAATATAAATTTAAATATAATAAAATATCAATTTATTTGATAATCGATCTATAGTTAATGAAAGTGTAAATAAGAAAAAACTTAAGATTGAGAACTAAATAACCAGTGAGAGCATGCATTGATACATCCGATAACAATTTATATTAGTGAGAAATTTTAAATTTTATAATAATTAATTTATTAATAATAACTATAATATATTTTAAATGATTGATATTATAATTTTTTTATATTTAAATTAATATTTATTAACATTGTGTATTAACACAGTTATTTATTAGTATAATATATCATATCGTTAATATAAACTTACAATATTTATATTAATATTTTAATTTTTATTAAAAGTATATGTTGATTAAAAAAGGATAAGTAAATGTTATTTATATCGTTGATAATTGCTTTTAATGAAATTCGATTCATTCTTCAACTAGCTGATCGACAAAGGATGCTTTGTTGTATTACAATGAAAAAACTTATATTTATATGATTTTTTAAATTTGTAAAACATTGCTTATATATAATATTTTTATTAAAAATTATAATATTTAATAATATTACTATATTTAATATATTTAATTATTTATTCATTAATTACCCTTTTTAACACTTATATTGAGAAAATGAAAAAAATAATCTAAAATTGCATCCCCCACCGCAGTTAAAACGGATAAAATTGCCACAGGCTCCACTAATTGGTATAAATGCCATAATCCCATACTAAAATATTATATTAATTATTACTTAACAAATGGCCACCAAATCCAAAAGTCGAGTTTATTTCCGTGCTGGAATAAGTGAAGCTATTTATGTTGGTAGGTGTAATTAATTGTCATGCAAGAGAATATTGCATTCATAAACAAAAACGTTTGGTGGTGGGTTAGGTTTCGTTTGATAATCACGTTCACGTGGTTCATAATAGTATCATTATGCATTTATGCTTCCAGAAAGTGCTTCATTAGCTATAATTCATACTCCAAAATATTAAAGGCTTTTTGAGTTTAAGCATATGATAATATTATATATTTATTATATTAAAATTATAAAATTTTATTATTATTAGTTGTCTATTTTTAACTTTTATTTTTTAATAACACGGAATAAAAATATGAATATGTAGTTGGTTAAGACTTTTCAAGTTCAACCATACGGTTGTCTCCGTTTCAACCTAATTTGTTCTTTTTTTAAAATTCTTAACAAGTTGTAGGTATATGTATACAAAATTCAGTATGCCATGTAAATAATTTTCCAAGAAGCTCCCAAGTCCATTGAGAAACTCGTAACGAAAACAAATAAGTAAAATAGTATTAAATAACAAAACTATTGTTTATTACATTTGTATAAAAAAAATTAACATTTTAATTTAATTTTTAAATAATATAATAGAATTTGATAAATTTATCTTAATTAATGTTCGTAAGTCACTTGTTCAAAATTTTAATAAAAAGTGGATGCACAAATTAAAAGATCCATATTTTATTTTTAATAAATATGAAACAATAAGTAAACATTAAAAAAATACCATTTTTTATGGCATTGATTGTAAGAAAATAACCCATATTTTTAAGCGATCAGCTGGTTTGAAAAAAATAATATTAATTATCGTATTTCACTGCATATAAAAGGAAATGCAATTTTAAAATAATTTTATATACCACAAACTACTGTACTATTGTATATTTAAGACAAATTTGTCTATAATAATTATTATTATGAAAACTAAATTAGCTTGATAATGTGATAATATATGATTAAAATGGTGAATATAATCAATTATATTTAATTATATAAAACACTACCGCTAGGTAATAGAAACCAGAGTAGAAGAGACACATTCTCATTTTTAAGTGGGTTAAATAAATGGAGTGCTGACAAAAATTCCTAAACAATTTGTTAAATATTTAACAATAAAAAATACATAAATATAAATATAAATATAAATAATATTATAAAATATATTTATATATAAATAAATTTATTTATTAAAAATAATAATAATAAACTTAAATAAAATTATCAAATATTTTATCCATTAACTATAACAAATTTTTTAGGTATATGAAGTGTTATATTTCTAACATTTATGAGCCAAGTTATTACTGAATAAATAAATTATTATTATATGGTTTTGATATCTAAAAAAAATACTAAAGAAGTGTATTATTGTTGTTATTACTAATTAGAATAATTTTAATATATTAGTATATTTTAAAATAATAAATTTCAAATAAAAACTTATATATTATATAAATTGATGTAAATTAAATAATTTGTTGATTAATATTTTAAGTTTAATTATTATTTTAAATGTACTATTATGAGTTACTTTAAATTTAAATACATATTAAAAATACCATATTTAGTTGTAATTACTGTTTATAAAACTTTTAAAGTAATAATATTTTATATGCATGCTATTTTGCTCATATTTACACAAATCTCTGACAAACACACGTGTAACTTGTTCAATATTAAATAAAAAAGATATTTTAACATATTAAATATTAATTATATCTTATTACATAATTTCTATATGTCAACTAAAGCTTATTAGAACTTTTATTGGAATGAAAAAAAAACTAGAATTATATAAATAGATACAATAAATTTAATTAAAAATTATTAACTAAAGAATTAAAAATGATATTTTTATTATAAACAATGTTAAGATATATTAAAAGTTATAAAAAATATACATGAACAAAATTTTAAATGTTTTAATTAATATCCTTAAAAGAAGACACATCAAGATTTTCATTTACATTAAGCTGAAGACAATATTCTGTGTGCAGTTCTATTATTACTACTACTAAAGTCGGATAATTCGAAGTTTATTGATATATATATGGCTGACCATGTTTCTGCTATCGTCAAATTGAATGATAATAAAGCGCGTCTCTCCTAACACGAAACAGCAATTAATTAATTTGAAATGAACGATACTTAAATTCACGTAATAATGAAGCCTCCTAATTACCCAACAACATACCCCACCGTCGCACAGTCGATATATTTTCAATTTCGTTTCATCATTTTAATTGGATCGGATCGTTCCCAGTTCCCTGCAAGGAGCACCGAGTCAGACTCAGTGAGCGAGAGTGGCATTTCCGTAAATACGACCCCACCCCCCAACCCAGAAAACAACAACCGAACTCGAACTCCTCTTACTTTCGTTTGTATCCGTTGAAACCCCACTTCCACTCTTCTCCACGCTCTGTTACTGTTCCTTTCTCTCTTTTCCTTTCTTTTCAATGCTTCAAACCTTCTCCTTTTTCAAACATGTCATTGTAGAATCTTTCTCACCCACCAAACGCTACCTCTCAACAACCTTTCTTCTCCCCCAACAACAATGACAGACTCCACCACCGCCACAACCTCATCTCTCAGCTTCAAGCTCCTCCTCTTAGTAGCCATTTTACTTGTCACCGTAGTGGTCATCCTTCTTCTCATCTTCTTCCTCTGCTTCCGCGGTACCCGAAGCTGCAAGAAGCGCAAGTTAGTGGCCAAACACAGCTCCGGCACCATCCCTCTGGTGTCCAAGGAGATCATGGTGGTTAAGGCCTCCGATCTCACCCCTTCCTCTGAACCATCGCAGAGTGAGATTGATGATGTGGACGTTGATCCGAAGAAGGAGGCGGACATCATGGTTGAAATCGAAGGGACTAGGAAGAGCGACGTGTCTGGTGGGGGCCACCGCAGCGAGGTGTCGGTGGAAGATCCCAACATAGGGTGGGGTCGTTGGTATACCCTTAGGGAAGTGGAACTCGCAACGCGTGGATTTGCAGAAGGGAATGTCATTGGAGAAGGTGGGTATGGGGTTGTATACAGAGGTCTTCTGCAAGATGGCTCCGTCGTCGCTGTGAAGAATCTTCACAACAACAAGTATGTCACATGTTATGATTTTTTCAAACTTTTTAATTTATCACATCTGAATTTCACTCGTTAAGATCTTCTTAATGTTTACTCTGATGCATGTTACCCTCCTGTTTTTGCTGATATATTCGTTCATTTTTAGAAAAAAAATTACTATTAATCTTAATTTTAAGCTTAATTTAAATAATTAATAGTGATGAGATTTTTATTAAAAAATATATATTCTTTATCTTTATGTGTATGTACGGCGTCAGGGTTTGAAGAGACTGTTTGGTTCTTTATTCTCTTGTCTATGAAATGGGTTGCAGTTTTCGCAACCCCACCCTTGTTTCGTGAAACTTCTTAATTCTTGTCGACAGTAATGGAATGAATCAATCGGGGAAATGTGCATGGCGTTTGTTTTGAACTGTCTTAAGAAAAGTAAAAGTGTGTTTGGTGGCAGATTATTTTACTTTTGAGAAATAATTGTTTATTTTTTAATGTTATTTAAGAGTGTTTTTTACAATGATGATCCCGGTAATTTAGGGCCTGTTTGGTTTCTCAAAACCCTTTTTGTTTTCATTTGAGACTTATTTTCATTCTATTTCCTATTTTTTAAAATTTGTACAAGAAATAACGAAAACATGACAAAAACATTTTTTATATAAATTTTTAAAAAGAGAAAAAAGAAAACATCTCCTAAAATCAAATAGCCTTTAGCGTTCTAAAGTACTTATGCTAAATGATCGTTTGCTTCTTTTCTACTTTGTTTTTTTTAATAATTTTTTTTTACTTTATTTTAGGCTCGGTAATGTTTGTATGTTACTTTTCTCTTTACTTTTACTTTTTGCTTTATTGATTATATTTTTCATAATTACTGTGTTATAACTTTTTTCTTTACATAAGATACTAGTTTGTTTTTGGTGCTTGGGAAATTAATTAAGATTAAGATACTAGTTTAATCCCCCAAGAAAACTTTAATTTAAGAAACAGGGAAAAATAATTATCCTTTGTTCATATAAGTTACATTAACCACCTTGTATGCATATTCAGAGAAGAGAACTACAAGTAAATAAGGTTCACTTCATACTACTCCATTCATTGATCAATTTCTTCTTTACCATTGTTCTTACAAATTAAATTTGTCTCTACCCAAATATTTGAAAATTGAAATATCCATAATAAATTAAGTATTGGAACAACAATGTGCGACAGCGAAAGGCTTGTTTAGCGGTTGCAACTTTAATTTACAAATTTATGTCAAGTTTCCAAAAATAATGCACTGCAGCATCTTTAATACGTTTTATTTATTTATTTTAAAACCTTTCTGTCACGTTTCCGTCTTATTGAAAATTCATGCGCATTATTACTAGGGGTCAAGCTGAGAAGGAGTTTAAAGTGGAGGTTGAAGCCATTGGGAAAGTAAGGCATAAGAATTTGGTTGGTTTGGTAGGATATTGTGCAGAAGGTGCTCGAAGGTAATTATTCTGTTTACACGGCCTTTATTCTTTTGATTTAATGTCTTTCAAATGATGAAATTTTTTTATTCCTGTGATTTCTTTTAATGGCATTTGTACTGATCATTCAGGATGCTTGTTTATGAGTATGTTAATAATGGAAATTTGGAGCAGTGGCTGCACGGTGATGTAGGACCAACGAGCCCCTTGACATGGGATATTCGAATGAGAATTGCTATTGGGACAGCAAAAGGGTGCGTTTAATGTTCATTAAATTTCCTATCTCCTTTAATTGTCGGTTATTTGCTTTTACTTACTGAGTTTCCTGGCCCTGTAATGGATCACATCAATTTCCTTTAAATGTATTGTGTTTGTACATGTATATAATACTCGTCAAGTGAGATGTTTATGTGCAATAATAGTGTGTTTAGTTTTTATTTAAACGTTGTTAGTTATAGTTTGTGTTCTAATATTTCTATTTTACGAAACAGGATAGCCTATTTGCATGAAGGATTAGAACCCAAAGTTGTGCACCGAGATATAAAATCCAGTAACATTCTTTTGGATAAAAACTGGAATGCCAAAGTATCAGATTTTGGACTTGCTAAGCTCTTGGGGTCTGAGAAAACCCATGTGACCACACGTGTAATGGGAACATTTGGGTAATTTGTTTTTTCTCAAGCATCTGAGTTATTTTTCAACTTCTGTAAATGGTGATTATCTTTTTATTTCTTACCAATAATTTTATGCAGATATGTTGCACCTGAGTATGCAAGCACGGGTATGCTTAATGAGCGTAGTGATGTGTATAGCTTTGGAGTTCTACTAATGGAGATAATAACAGGAAGAAGCCCCATTGATTATTCAAGACCACCTGGAGAGGTGATTAAGTTTTGTTCATGTTTTCATTAGAGCATTCCATGAAAAGCAATGGAGTCTTACCTTTGTTTTTGTTGATTGCTTCAGATGAATTTGGTTGATTGGTTTAAGGCAATGGTAGCAAATCGTCGCAGTGATGAACTAGTTGATCCTTTAATTGAGATTCCACCCTCTCCGAGATCTCTGAAGCGAGTTTTACTCATTTGTCTGCGCTGTATAGACTTGGATGTCATCAAGCGACCAAAGATGGGTCAAGTTGTTCATATGCTTGAGACTGATGATTTCCCCTTTCGATCTGTAAGCCACTCTTTCCCAGTTTCTCACACATTCCTGTTAAGCAGAGTTGCGCAAATAATTTATCCTTTTGAAACTAATACCATGCTTGGATTCATGTTGGAAAAGTATGGATTTATGTTTACTTTAACGTTATTAGTTGTACTTTCTGCATTAGATCCATGTTTGCATATTTTTTAATGTATTTCTCTCTCGACACACTAAAATGTCACTTTACCTTGTTGAATAGGAGCTACGTACAATTAGAGACAAAGATCCTTTGCCTTCTCAAGCAGATGTTTCTATTAAAGTACCATATCCATCAAAGCATGCGGAAATCGTAGAAAAATCAAGATGGAGATAATTGTTTGTAATACTGGTCATGCAACTTTTGTGATTGAATTATTTGTTGTTGCATTTTTCATGATGTTATGAACAAGTTATGGGTCATTGTGCATATCTTATACGGTGTAGTTATTATTTCTTCAGGTTTATAACACCATTGTTGTCTTGCATTATGTTGGGTACTGAGAAGAGACGAGCTTTGTAAATATGTATCTTATTATATATCAATTTTATTTGTCTGTTGTTGACATATTTCTACAATATAACTAATACGTAATCAGGGAACTTCCTATTTGATTGGGAGGGTTAGGAGTATCGATTTGTAATGCATTCAATCCCTCAACCCCGTTGACAGAATATGAAAATGTGATATATTGCACGTCTTCACAACTACTATAATGTCACGAAAAAAAATGGTACATGTTTCATGGTTGGTATCTTTAGGGGATCCTGTAGGTGAATCTTCCCAGCTATTTCTTCCTAGATGGCAGCTAGAAAAATTATTTCTTCCCAGATTTAAACCTCGAGTTGATCTTTGAAGTTTTTAAAAAATTGTATTTATAAACAAATATTTATTTTAATTCTTTTTATTTAACATTTTATTGTCATTTTGCATGAAAAATGATTAAAGTGAATGAAGTTTTACAAAATTAGGAGTTGATGAAGAGTTTATTAGAGGAATAAAAATCTTAATGACTGATTTGAAGTTTACCCTCCTTTAAACCTTTGGTTACGATGTCAATCTTCTCACAATGTCTTGAGCAAAATTTAAAAAGTATACTTTTTCAGGATTCTTCACCAAGCAAGGGACTAGTTTTAAATTTTAAACATTAATCTTTTAAATTATTCCCAATAGAAAACAATGACAGCTCTACTACGTTTGATACTGAACCTAAACTTCGAAACAGAGGTATTCTTATACTCGCACGATGTTCCTGCTACTTCAAGCATGATTCATCGCAAGTTGCTCTTGCAAGGGAAAAAATTGCATTCTTGGTTCGTACTAATTATTACACCCCAGTTATTAATCTACTTGAGTTATCCTTTAATAATTATTATCCATTGTGAAATGCACTAGTTTGTAAATGATAAAACTACGTTACGAGAAAGATTGAAAGACATTACGTCACCAAAAAGACCATGTACACATGTAATTTGATTGTGATGGAAGCTGAATTAAATGTAAGCACGTACTTCTCAATTGCGCAATCTGGAGAGATCTCATATACAAGAAGTGGACATAGACTCCCAAGTCCAAGCGATAATATAATAACTTATAATGGACTCTTATTATCATGTACAAGCATCTTCCAAAACGAGAAAGTGTATAAAATACACAAATGAGAAAAAGTAATTATATTATTATTATTATTATTATTATTATTGTGATGTAATACATATTTTTTCCATGAAAAAATAATTTAATTTTCGTAGAAGGTGCGGTGGCTTTGCGTATGACCAGCCCAGTTGCCCAACCAATCTATTACCGTAGAGCCAAGATTGGGCTAGAGAAAATGACACGTGGGGGGCATATATTCCCAATAAGGAGATTCAATAAAATTTTCCATTTTTTCCACCCTTTAATTTTATTCTATTTTATTTTTTATTATTTTTTTAAAAAAGGTTTAACGGCTTCATCACCTGAACTGGCACCAGATCTGTTTCATTTCTTCGAACCAGAGAGAACTGGGCTTGAGGAATGGATGAGAAGCTTCTACAGCGGTTAGAATCGGCGGTGTCGCGCTTGGAGGCGCTATCCACCAGATTCCCCAGTGCCGGCAGCGGTGCTGACGCTTCCGATGCGGTGCTCGATCCGTCCGTTGTTGCCTTCGGCGATCTGATCGACCAGTATGTCGCTAGGGTTTCGAGTACTGCAGAGATTATTGGAGGACAGGTCTTGGATGTCACCAAGTTTGTGCGGGAAGCTTTCGCCGTTCAGAAAGAGCTCTTGATTAAGCTCAAGAATACTCAGGTTCATCGTTGCTCTGTTATCGGTTTCTGCGTCGCGCGGAAATCTCGATCTTAGTGTTTTTCATTTTTGTGTTGATTTAAACGGATTTGAATTTCACGTGCCACGTTGTGAAGAAATTGTTGTATTGTATGTGGTAATATTGATGCACTACAAAAAAATGATGATAGTGTAGTCTATGCTAGATACTTTCGTAATTGTGCTGAAATAGAGTATGATACCGAGTGAACAGAATGTGGTGGCATGTTTGGTCTTAATTTTTTTTTTTTATGGGAAATTTATATACTTATTTAAAATATATCTTATTATTGTTATGGATTGCGTGGATTCGATGCATGTTTTACCTGTCGTTTTTCCAGACTAAAGGATGGGGGTCTTGTGTTTCATGCGTGTTTTATTCGAGGTACCATTACTTGTAAAAAGCCAAGTTGAGAACCAATTGCTCAGATGAATGAAAGTGGGATAAAGAAACGGTCATGTTAGTTTCTAGTAGAAGGAATTAAAATTAGAGTAATGTAATGGGTTTTGATGCAATTGAGATTGCCATCTCTTTTGAAATGATTTTTCTCCTCTTTCATGCTTGTGTGATTTTGCTGTTAAATTTGTGTCACTATGAATGGATGAACCGTGTACCTATTTGGGTTAGATTGTATGAAAAAACTGATGTGAAAAAAATAATGTTTGAAAATTTGGATTTTAAATTTGGGTTTGTCTGGACTTTGAAAAGAAAATCAAGTTGAGGTGTTAAAAGAGTATGTAGTAAAATATTGAGGCCGTACATGATGAAATTGATATTAGGGATATTTTCTGTAAAACTAATTGGACACAGCTACAGGAGTTGATACTACTAGAAAAGCAACAAAACATTCTCAGGTGGGAGCGTCAGCTATGCAGTTTTGGAAGTTGAATAAATTGTGTAAAATTAGGCAAAATATGTAGTTTGGCTTTGAAATATCCCCAAGTGGACTGCTGCATCCAGCCCTTTTCAAAACATAAAAACATAATGTTACGGTGTAGGACTAGGATGGATTGCTATAAAAGAATAAGAAGACTGTAATTAGTTAGAAAAGATGGCATATATTATTGGTCGTGCTTTTAAGTTTTTATTTTTTTGGACTATATGTCTAATGTCCTGGTGTTTGTAAATTCCGTATTAATATGTCACATCATCATTCATTGTGCAGAAGCCTGACCGTGCCGGGTTGGCTGATTTTCTGAAACCATTGAATGAAGTAATCATGAAAGCTACCTCGTTGACAGAAGGAAGGAGATCTGATTTTTTTAATCACTTAAAGGCTGCTGCTGACAGTCTCTCAGCTCTAGCCTGGATTGCATATACAGGGAAGGATTGCGGTAGGTGATGAATGATTCTTTTATAATTTATAGGATGAATCTTTATCTTTCAGTGTCTTAATGCTTCTTATGTGTTTTCAAGGTATGAGCATGCCCATTGCTCATGTGGAAGAAAGTTGGCAAATGGCTGAGTTTTACAGCAACAAGGTATTCTTGATACATACCACAATCTTGTTAATTTATCTTGGATAATTTTCATGATGGTCCACTCTCCTTCACATGTAGGAGGAACATATAAAGGAGTCCCTGCAAGGGATCTCAATAATTTTAGCAATTTGTACTGTATCCTTGTATTGAAAATTTTTTATTTTTTTTTCCACTTAAAAATGCATAGGTCTATCCACTTCATAGTTACATCATCTTACTCGATGAGAAAGGAAATGAATGACAATCAACAACCTTAATGTTTATGTGCTTAGGCTCAGTAATTGTGATTTTAAATGCTTGATTGACAATTTACTGTTGCTAACATTTTAATATGGAATGTTGTGTACTGACATCTTGCACTAGACTCCTAGATTTTTCCTTGCACTTTCTTATCTCTCAGATTGTCTGCTGTTTCATGGCTAACCTTGCCTTTCTTTTATTGTAATAACCAGGTACTTGTAGAGTACAGAAACAAAGACCCAAATCATGTTGAGTGGGCCAAAGCTCTGAAAGAGTTGTATTTACCTGGTTTGAGGGATTATGTCAAGAGCTTTTACCCTTTAGGCCCTGTTTGGAATCCAACAGGAAAAATACTTGCTCCATCAAAGGCTCCTGCACCTGTTGCACCTGTTGCCCCTCCTCCTCCACCTGCTTCTCTTTTTAGTTCTGAATTATCTCAGGCTTCATCTTCTAAGCCTAAAGAGGGGATGTCTGCTGTTTTTCAACAGATCAGTACAGGGAATGTTACTGCAGGTAGTCTATTCCCACTCTTACATTTTCTTGATTGAATGTTCAGCATTTATGAATTATAAACTTTATCTAATAGGTTTGAAAAAGGTTACGGATGATATGAAGACTAAGAATCGCACAGATAGAACTGGAATTGTTGGCACTAGCGAAAAAGAAAGTCGTGCTGCAAGTTCTCATGTGTCTTCTAAAACAGGACCTCCAAAATTTGAACTTCAAATGGGCCGCAAGTAGGTTTATATGTATGTTTGAGTTTAATTACTGTATGCATAAAAAGTAATGTCAATAATGGCACTATTCCATCTCCCTAACCTAATCAATCTCTGCCACTGTAGATGGGTTGTTGAGAATCAAATTGAGAAGAAAGACTTGGTCATAGAAGATTGTGATGCAAAGCAATCTGTATATATTTATGGATGCAAAAACTCTGTTTTGCAGATTCAAGGTAGTGCTTATTTCTTTTCTTTTCCTATTTGCTATCCAACTTATCACTCGGTGAAAAGGCTACAAGTGAATAAATCATTTTTAAACAATTTGCAGGCAAGGTCAACAATATAACTATTGATAAATGCACAAAGATGGGAGTTGTATTTAAGGTTTGTGAGACATAAAACTTCCAGATTCAATAATCTCGGATTAAATAATGGAACCAATTCATATTGAGGGAAATGCATATTAATTTTTTTGTTTTGAAATGTAGGATGTTGTTGCAGCTTTTGAGATTGTAAACAGTAATGGGGTTGAGGTTCAATGCCAGGTACCTTGATTCCATCCTCCTTTTTTTCCTTCACTTCATAACAACTTCCAATGCTATGGCATGTTAGGCTGAATACCATGTTATTCTTCCCGATAAATATTTTGATAGCTGTACTGATCTTACTAATTTAATTGACGGGATGCAAAGGATAAGGGTTTGATACTAAATTATTTCTTTGATACGTCAAATCTAATTTGGTTTTACTTTTGCTTTCTTTTAATAATAATAATAGGGTGCAGCTCCTACAATTTCGGTAGACAACACTTCTGGCTGCCAGCTATACCTGAGCAAAGACTCTTTAGAAGCATCCATATCTACAGCAAAGTCAAGTGAGATCAATGTATTGGTTCCTGGTGCTGAGCCTGATGATGATTGGGTATGTTTTTGTGTTCTTGTTCTATATTTGATGCAGAAAAATTTGGTTTTACTGATGTTTATATGATATAACTTGAAAAGTTTGCCTTACTGGTGTTTATATCCTATAGCTTGCTATTACAAAGTTTGTTTCTTCATCAACATATTTAGAAGAGCCTTTTATCTTTTACCCCTAATTCCTTGTTGACTATTTTGTTGCCTTAATCATTGAAAATTGAATATTATAGTATGTTTCGTAATTTTTCTTGATGTTTTTCAATACAACTTAGGATAGTGGCGCATAGTGGCCAGCCATGTGAAATTACACGTGGCTTACTGGCTCACTCTTCCTATAATTGTTAAGTGGATGTATCAATCTTGGTTGGATATTATTAGTGGGTGAGGGAAGTCAAGTAATATAAATTCCAAATTTTAACCGCATCTTCTGTTTCAGGTGGAGCATTCTTTGCCACAACAGTACATTCACTTTTTCAAGGATGGCCGTTTTGAAACAACTTCAGCTTCTCATTCTGGAGGTTAAATTGGTTCGCAATTTGGAGTTTCTATTTATATTTACATCATCTTATTGCTTGGAATGCTGTGGGAGTGGCTTCAATTTGTTGTTTCTTCAATTCATTTACAAATACAATCATATATAGGTTTACCATATTCATGCTCGGCTGCCTATGCTTATGATTTTTCCTTTGGCTTTTTGAACCATTGGAATCATCCATCCATACGACTTTTTTAGTAGTTTGCTTTTGCTTGAGCGTGTTTTTCTCCCAATTTGCATTATGCAATTGGTTTTTTTCTTTTTTTTTTTTTTTGGTTTTCAGAGGACCCGAACATTTGTCTGAATTTTCATCTTGGTTTTTTTTTTTTTATCAAGAATATCTTGGTTTGAGTGTTTTTGCATATTTTGAGGATGGATCAATGGTGTACTTTGTTCGTTATGAAAGATGTTTGTGCATCTGTTTGAATCGATTAGTTCCCTCAGTTTCTAATGAGAAAAGGAAACTAGCTATGGACGCTCTCGGCGTTTGTCCGTGTACTGGTCAATATCTAAATTTGATATATGATGACAAAACTTCAATTCTAATTATAGTTCAATTTTAGCAATCTTTTTCATTGCTCTTTAAATTGGTTGGTACTTGACAGTGTTAACTTTTATTTGTAAGTGGCATTTGTTAGACACGTTAGAATGAAACATTGGAACTGAACATAACATGTGGGTAACATTCTATGTTTGATGTATTTGTAATAAGCACACGTTTGATCCTATATCCAATAGTTGAGCATTTTTTTTTTATTAATAATAATTACTCTTTAACATTTACAACATGGATTTTTGCATACCTCCATCACACATATTGATGTCTTACTAATATTGCCCTTAATCTAAAGTAGCATTAACCGGGACGCACAATTATTCGCTGTGCTAATAATCTGTTGGTGTGAACGCATACTATTTAGTTAATTTGCACAAACTGATTAAAGTAGCTTCAGCGTCCCTTGTTCTCTTTGATTCGAGCAACTTGCCCGCTGAGGAGAGTTTTCTTGTCATCTTTTGCTCACATTCATCAAATAAGAGAGTCAATTTTGTTTATTTTTATCACATTTTATCGTTTTCCCTTAATTTCCAATTTTATTGTTTCGAGTGTAATAAGTAATTTCTTGTTATTTTGAAATAATTGAGAATCTATTTTTGTTGTCCAACCACAGTATTTATTTTAGCGAAATCTCGCATAATAATAATTGTTTTGTTTATCATCAAGCATAATAATTCTCTATTAAAATAGCATAAGAACGTACCTAGCTCAAGCATTATTACTTCCAATGGGTAATATATGTGGTTTTCATTTAAAAAAAAAACATAAAAATCCTATTATAGACAAATAATTTACTTTCTTAAAGATTGTATATATTCCTCTCCACGATCATGTTCATGTTATTTATTTGTATCAGGTAACCTTTAATTGTTGGTGTAACATAAAAAAACCTATTTGTTTCCGAATCTTGGGGCCCATAATTTTTTTTCCCGATTTCAGGACTCTATTTTCTGTTTTAATTTTATTCTTTTGGGGTCCAACAGTTACATCTTCTGCTTTGAATAAATGGATGTCTTGTAAGAACCTTTTATCTGGTTCAAAGGAGCGTGGGGATCCGATGCCCAGGACCAGGAGCATTGAAACAGTTAGCACACCGAAGCCTTGATGCAAAAAAATCAATATTTGCATTTTGGATAGAATTAATTTTAAATTTTTAAATATGATTGAAAACTAGCCTCTTTTTTATGGAGAAAAAAAGAAGAAATTACTTAAATATAATATGGTATATTTTAGTAAAATTACAAAAATATAGAAAAATTTAAAAAATCGCCACAAAAAATTATCATTTTTTAAAATATGTTATTATTATTTTAAAAACCGTCACTTACGAATTGTGATTTTTTTATTAAATCATTGATGATTTTTTTTTTATACTTTATCACTTTTTATTTTTTCCATCTATAAACTTTTGTACCTACATCAACAAATTGTCAATGACAATTTTTAAAAATTTTATATTTTCGTAATTTTTTCAAAAACATAATATTTCAGTATATATTATTTTTAATACCACAAAACATAATATTTTATATTTTCATTGTACAGATTTTTGTGTATACGAAACTACAAAGAGAAATTTTATTGTACATATATTTTGTATAAATACTATATAACAAAGAAAAAAGGTAAAAAATGAGATAAAATAATTGATATGATAAAAAATAAAAAATAATATAAAAAATGTTGTATAAATTGAATAATATAAATCAACAAAGAATTATCATAATTGTAAATCATCTATTATTGTACCTTTTAAAGGGTATGGAAGAAAAAAAAATCTTTATTCAGATAGTAAAAGGGGATCACACTCCTTTTAGGCATACCTTTATATACACTTCCTGGAAAGAGATAAAAAAACAAAAAGACACATGATAAATAAAAATTTTGAAAAATACCAAATTATACCAAAAAATCTGTCAAATATATAGTTTTTCGAGGATTTTTTTTTCTTTTCGTTTCTCGGATACAAATTCTCTTCAATGATTTTTTTCACTAGATAATATTTTTTTAAAAATATTTAATTATATATATATTAACATAAATGTAGCTTTTTTTTTAAAAAAAAAGTATCAAATTTTTCACTGGACTAAATGGCGTGAAATTTTGCACTTGGCATGACCACCACCGCATTTATACTATTCTCCCACTGCATCTGACACGTTACAGACAATTTCTGCTCAAACATTTTTCACATTTAAAAGATAAACACTTATTTTCATTTCAAAATTTTTGAAATAGTAAATGTTAATTTTCATGTTAATTTTTTATTTTTATTTTTATTTTTTTAAGTATTTTAGTTTATAGACTCGGCCATTGTTATTTGATAATGATAAAATATTGACATTAAGTTATATATGTGATTGACAAAAATAACGTATATAATATATTTTTATTTTATTTAATTTGTAAGATTGTCACTCGTAAACAATTTAATTCGTGAAATTGTCTTCGACAATCATTTTAATTTTTAATTTTAAAATTTTTTATTTATCAATTTTTTATTTTTTTTTATCAAAAACTACTATCACATTTACATTATTTGATGGAAACAGTCTTAACTTTTATTCTAATACCCTATTAACTTTTATTTGTATGAAAGTATATTATGTTTTTCCTAATTGCTACACTTACTTTTTTTTCATTAAATATTATTATTAGAAAGAAAATCAGTTTATAAATTTATGTTTAGGTACGATGTAAAACATGATATCTTTGTGAATATCAGTTTGATCGGATAAGTGCAATTAATATGAAGAGATTAACGATGTTTGCTAAGACTTTGTTTAAATTTCATGTTGAGGAGAGGATGAAAAGGGAAGAAAGGAGTTAGTGATCACTAACCTTTATTTGAAAGTTAATTAAGTATAAAGGGAAGAGTTAGTTAGAAGAATTTTTTAAACCCTCTTTATGAATTAGTTAGAAGAATTTTTTAAACCTTTTTTATTTTTATATTTTTTGAGTTTCCTAATTTTAGAGGATTTTAGTGACTCTTGTAGTAGAGTTTATCATTTATATTTTTATTTATTAAATTAAATATTTAACATGGTCTAAAGTTAAAATAGAAAGAAAATAAAAAATTAAAAAATATTAGTTTTTAGAGTTAGAATTTTTTTAAAATTATTAAAAATAGATAAAAATATTAATTTTTAGAGAGAAAAATATTTTTTTATATTTTTGAGAAAAAAATATATGAATAAAAAATTATAAAAAGGTAATAATATAATTTACATGTTAACTATTTTGTTACTTTTTTCTCTCAATATTAAATATTAAAACAAGAGAAGAATTTACCTTTCATTTCTCTCCTTTCTCCCACTCTCCTGAACCCTTTGAATCATTTCCTTTCCTCTTTTTTCAAACTCCTAAATAAAGTCTAAGTGTTTAATTAAATGTCGCAAATAAATTTTGTTTTTTAGATTGTTATGATTGTTGGGTATGTCACTATTGAAATGTTATAGAGAAGCTAGTTGATAATATGCTGCAGAAAAACATAACTTTTTTAGAATGTGATGGTGTAAGAGTAGGCCCGTCAGGCCTGAGGGTAGTTTAGAGGTGCGATCGCCTAAGGCTCAAACTTAAAAGAAGACCCAAAGTAAAAATCGCGTTATACTTTCACTTGAAAAAAATTTCAACTCTTACAATTTGCAATTGGAAAAAATAGAAAAACAGAAAAGACTTTTTAATTTCTCGTACCTCACTTGCTGTAAACGTAATTGACTGTTTGACTTCTGTAGACTTAAAACTTTGTTTAATTCCAAAATTTTACTATTCTTAGAATTAAAGCTAATGGAGAATTTTAGTTTTCTCTAAAAAATTAAACAATTATTGAGTTTGTCAAATCTGTAGATTATTATTTAAATGTTTTAATCACTTATAAAATTTTTTTACAGTCCTGGTGACTATATAATCAACTGAAAGATGTTTTTTAAAGTTAAAGTTAATTAAAACCTACTTAAAGTCATAAATGTCATAAGCACCGTTGAATAGTTTCGCAATTTTATCAATTGATAAAGAATTTTTAGAAAATATTGATGTTAATGTTATCATTAATGATTTTGCATCTTAGAATACATATAAAATCCATTTTATATGATTTTTTTTTTGTATTTTTGTAGTTGATTATAACATAAGAGTTGTTTGAATGAAAGAATTTTTTTTTATAATTTTATTAAAAAAAATTATAGCCACTTTTAAAAAACGTATTATTTTAATAAAATTATTAATATATATTTTTATTTTGTTTATTATATTTTATAATTTTTTTAAAGAATCCTAATTTCCTATTTCACATATGGTCCAAAAAAGTTAAGAACGGTCCTGTGTAAGAGTTTGTAAATGCTGTAGATTTGAGTTGTATCAAGGATATTTAATATTATGCTTAAGAATAATGTTATTTCTTTCACTACCATAGTTGATAAGAATAAGAATGCGAAGGCTAGTGATATAATAACTTCATAATTGATGAGTGAGTGTTCATTAGTTTGACATGTGCTTCGATTCAATTGAGTAAATAAGCACAAGATGGAAGTGACTTTGTTATCCATACAGAATGTAAATGACTCAGCAATGATGGTAATTTTCAATAAAAAAAAGAATACATAAAATATTTTAATGATAAAAATTTAAATATTTGTTGTGATAATGTAAGAGACTAAAATATTTAATAAATAACTATTTTAAAGACTAATATAAAATTATAGATATTTTAAAAATTTTAGAAATTAGAATGTTAGGTGTAGTAAAAATTTATCTTAACTACTTAATAGCATAATATTGGTTAGAAATACAAGTTGTCCTATTTTGGTGCAACTGTCCGTCACTGCATGGACCTCAAGGCGTAATGCCAATATTGGTTAGAAGAAGAACCACCTGGAGCATCCTCTTTAATAGCAATATTGGTTAGCTCCATCTTAAAAGATGAAAGAGAGAAAAACTACTGAATAGCACATAATATTAACGTTAAGAATATTTAATAATGTAGGTACCGTATACCCAACAATCACTCGTCAATTCAAAGAATCAAAAACAGTATAGGACCCATCCAGCTAGTAGAAGTCGTTTTTTCTCGGACACTCTCTTTCTTGACTTAGAATTCTCCTTCCAGATCTTCTCCATCCTCATCGCCATCGCTGTGGTCTTCTTCTTTCTTTATCTGTTCTTTTCTTTTTCCATTGGCTTTGGCTTTCACTTTCAAGTCCCCTTTATAAGAACATCTTTTTTATAGTTCGAACTGCTAAACTCAAGAGAGTAGTTGGTGGAAACTTCAACTCTTGAAACCACCATGCTCAAACATCCCAACTCTTCGTTCCTCCTTTCCCTTTTCCTGATCTTCACTGCAATATGCTTTGTAGGTGTGTGTTCTTTTTATTCCTTATCTTTTGTAACGACGTTAGTGTTACCTTTTGGATGGCCTTTCTTTTTCTAAAATTTTCTTTTGATTTTTAAAGTTCAGAAAAAAAAAAAAAGCAACGTTACTTTCTGGGAACTTTCTCCCTGAAACTTCTCGGGAAAGTGGAACTTTGTAGCTTTCCCATTCGGCAAATCGAACGATGAAGGAATTCATGGTTCCCAACATATGAAACTACGAAGAAACAACGTTGTGTTGTATTTTTTTTAACAGCGAACCGTGGAGTTCCTTTCGCTCTCTGAGAACAGAATTACCCTTTATTCAATTTTGAATTTTGATTGTATTTTTAAATTGTTTGAAAATATTATAGTTGATTTAGGTTCATGCGTCTCTCAATCTTCTTACTCTTGCAGATTCACAATCCTTCATCGGCGTCAACTACGGCCAGGTTGCCGACAACCTTCCGCCGCCGGAGGCCACGGCGAAGCTCCTCAAGTCTACGGCCATCGGAAAAGTCCGACTTTACGGCGCTGATCCAGGGATCATCAAGGCCCTGGCGAATTCCGGCATCGGAATAGTCATCGGCGCCGCCAACGGTGACATTCCAAGTCTAGCATCCGATCCCAACTCGGCGACTCAGTGGGTGAACGCGAACGTGTTGCCCTACTACCCTGCCAGCAACATCACTCTGATCACCGTCGGCAACGAGGTCATGACCTCCGGCGACCAGAGCCTCATCTCGCAGCTCCTCCCGGCGATTCAAAATGTCCAAAATGCCCTCAACTCGGTCTCACTCGGTGGCAAGATCAAGGTATCCACGGTGCATTCAATGGCCGTGTTGACTCAGTCGGATCCTCCATCTTCCGGGTTATTCGACCCAGCTCTCCAAAACACCCTTAAACAGTTGCTGGCGTTTCAGAGGGATAACAAATCTCCCTTCACCATCAACCCGTATCCGTTCTTCGCTTACCAGAGCGACCCGAGATCCGAAACACTAGCATTTTGCTTGTTCCAACCGAATTCGGGTCGGGTCGACAAGGGTAACGGGAAGCTTTACAACAACATGTTCGATGCTCAGGTCAGTTACAGTTACCAAATTCTTTTTCGCTTTTTTAATTAATTTTCTTTTATGTCGTAATTTTTTATCTGTTCTCCACGTGCATGCCACGTGTCTAATAATCTTCACTTCTGTCTGAGACTTTAATCACCTGTTCATTTTTCTATTCCTTTTCCCCTGCCTAGTTGCTAAATAAAATAGTTTGTCAATTTTTGAAATATGTACCTAAGCAACATTTGAAATTAATGGGTAAATACTTAACAGCTAACCTATATCCTCCTAACAATATTTTAAATAATGTTTTTTACTATTATATAAAATAAATATTGAATAAAGATATTTAATTATTATTACATTTAAAATATAAAACATATAAAATATTTTCTTTATTTAATAATTAAAAAAATTATAGAAATAAAGAGTAAGAAGATTTACAATTATTCAATTCTTAATTTAGTCTTTAAAAACTTTTTATCTAACTCAATTTATTTATTAAAAGAAATCACTAAATATTTTTTCAAAATTATAAATGTGAAATACTTTAACCTTTTACTTATTAAATAAAGACTAAAGTTATTTTTTAATGTTTAGGAATTAAAATATTTTTTTTGTTAGAGATCATAGTGTTCTTAACATTTTTCCTTTTTGAGAATAATTTGAATTCTCACTCTATTTTACGTGATGATAAAGGGTAATTATTTAGTTATGATGATAAATTAAGATTGGACTTGCAAGTCTTTCTTTTTAAAGTATGTGCCCTTTAACGGGCTGCTAATCTTGTCTTCGCTTTTTACTGTACAACAGTACAGAGGTTGAAAAGTCATACTCGCGCATCTTTTTTATTTTGTATGTTTTCGCTCATTTATTTTTCTGTCTCTCATTATTATAGTGATTACTTTTTATGTCATGGACTGGGCTAAATGTGAGAACCAATAGGTTATTTAACTTTTAAAAAGTAGCATGTGCTCTAAGACTTGTACGAGTTAATAGGTCATTTTACGTAATTTTAGATAAACCTTTAATTAAAATTCTCATGTAAAAATCATGCAACTTTACGTCTTGTATGCGACAATGAATTTGAATCCATAATCAACATAGAAATGTTATGAAACAAAAAAAGACTTGACCCGAAATAATAATATTGAGGGGTCTGTGGGCACACACCAAACTTTTAATAGTTAAAACTTTATTAGGTGCAAAAATTTTTGCTGTTAAACTAATGCAAATGATGCTAATACTCTTGATGAAATTTTAAGCCCTTGCACTTGCATTGATGTTATATTTGGTTGATTGGTGCAGTTTTCCCACCTGATTTTTCTTCCACATTGAGGTTGAATGTTGAGCAGGTTGATGCTGTGCACTCTGCTTTGAGCACTATGGGCTTTCAGGACATCGAGATTGTGGTTGCTGAGACAGGATGGCCCTCTCGTGGAGATAGCAATGAAGTAGGACCCAGTATTGAAAATGCCAAGGCCTATAATGGGAACCTCATTGCACACCTTAGATCATTAGTTGGGACTCCTTTGATGCCTGGAAAATCTGTGGACACATACATATTTGCACTCTATGACGAGGATTTGAAACCTGGACCAGGATCTGAGAGAGCATTTGGTTTGTTTAAAACTGATCTTACTTTGGCATATGATATTGGCCTAGACAAGTCTAGCTCTAGCCAGAAGGTGAAGAAATTGCTGTTCTTTAAGGCGCATGTATATGCATGTTTCTGATATTTTAGAATATTCATGAGAATTTCAAATGATTTTAAGTGTCCTTTGTGTGTCCACAGACTCCACCAACCAAAGCTCCAGTTAGTTCAGGACCTAAAACTGTGACGCAATGGTGCATTCCTAAAGATGGAGTGACTGATTCTCAATTACAGGCAAATATAGATTATGTATGTGGAAGCCAAGGCATAGATTGTGGGGCAATTCAACAAGGAGGTGCTTGTTATGAACCTAACACAATAACATCTCATGCCGCTTTTGCCATGAATCTCTACTACCAGAAGGTTGGTAGAAATCCATGGAACTGTGATTTCTCTCAATCAGCAATTCTTACATCCCAAAATCCAAGTAAGTTTTATTAACACCCCTTTTGTTGTTTTCTTTTTCTTTTTTGAAAGCTGTCTTAATGTTCTAACTATTGATATATACATATGGTGTAGGTTCCTTTCATAAGGTATTATTCTGTTGGCTATCTAACTTGATTTTCCTCCTCTTTGTAGGTTACAATGCTTGCGTTTATCCCACTGGGAGTCCCTAAAAATGGAAGGTTTCAGCTTGTGTCAACTTCAAAATTATTTATATTAGAGTTAAATTAACGAATAAGGCTCTAATATTTTGTCCATTTAATTTACGGCCTTCCAATCATATATAGCTTCAATGAATTGTGTAAATGGATGCCTGTCCCGTTCACTTGTGTATGGTATCTACAATTCTGTGCCCTTTATTCTTATATGTTCCCACTCTCCTATTTATTTAATTAAATGCTGTGGGAACATCTTACCAAATGTGATTGTGGTGGAGTGTTTCATAAGCATGTGGTTGAACTGTAATAATGTTGTGTGTGAAAAAGTTGCTTCAGCCCCTCTCCACTCTTCAGCTTCAGGCCAGTAGTACCTTGGTTCTTTCTTTTGCTGATGATTATTATACATATACACTTACATTTCTTTTTTCTTCTTCTTGTGTAAAGCACTAAATACTTAAATAGTAAATAATGCTATGAACCTCGAAATAATACTTTTGAAAGATTCAAAATTTGACCTAAAAAAATTACGTATACTGTATTAAATGTTTGTACCACAATAATTTTCTATTGTTTCTTACCTAGGTTGGTTATTTAATTTAATATTTTTAACATATCAACAAGAACCTTAAAATGCATCTCTGTGTATACTTTTAGGATACAAGTATATAGAAAAAATAAATAAAAACAATTATATATAATTACATACAATTAATTCTTAATGGTTGAAATAACTGCACTAATTATGATAAAAGGTGGGCTAATTTGGGCCCTCATGACTCTATCCAAACGAGAAAAACAAAAATGATAACCAGAAATAAAAAAGAAACGCAGAAAGGGAATCTTTTGGTGTAGTAGGTGCTATTATTATCTAAATCCAATGGCTGAATTCAGGATTCAGATCCAATCTCTGTGAACAACAGGCATGTTTCAATTTTTAAAATCTTAAAAAGTTCCAAATTTCTGTTTTGTTTTTTTCTTGATTCTATGAGTAGATGCAGATATGTTCATGCTCATGACAAGGACTCAAATATTTGCCTTGGTTGACGTGGGGTTTCTGTGATTTGATGTGTTTCTGCCTCTAGCTTTTATCAATTGGTAAATTAGTATATTATAAGAGTTATTATTGCATAGGAGTTTTTTTAATGTATAGTTAACAATATCTTTGTGTTTTTTGCACGGCGTAAATTTGTATATTTCAGATACTGTGCATAATGTAGTGTAAAAAAATCATTTTATCGAGGGGGTGACTCGTAAGGGCTTGATTCGCTAATAAATATGCTTCTTCACCTCAAAAAGGTATATTCAACCTCAATACTCAATTTAGATTTGTTGTATCTAAGTTAGCATACTTGTTTGTCCCTTCCTACCTTTTTTTTGAAAGGATGTGAAAATTCTCAAGATTTAGGATTCAAAGTCTGATTATCTCGTTCCTTCCTTTTGTACTGCTCCATTGTTTTTTTTGTCTTGGGCTTGTTCCATGTTTTGTACCCGCTGGGCCTGCCTCCCTTGTTGGTTGGGCTTTGAGACATTATTGTTTGATTGAACAGAAAAAAAAGTTAAAAAAATATTAATATTTATATATAAATTAAAATCACTTAATATTATCTTCTGTTGTCGTCCAGCGGTTAGGATGTCTGGCTTTCACCCAGGAGACCCGGGTTCGATTCCCGGCAACGGAAATGCAGCTTTTTTATTTTTGCATTCTGTAATTCGTCTGAGTTACTTGGCTTCAATAAAGAGAAGAGAAATTAGAGCTTCCGTGTTAAATGCAAAGTTTTACTGTCAACAAAGTGCTCAATACGCATGCTCATTGTCCACCATGGGATTTGTCTTTTCTGATGATTAGTGGGTAGATATTGAAAATTATAAAGAAATGGGGATAATTTCGTGGCCTATTAGGAAAGTATGATAAGATATACACTTTTAAGCAATTTCACACAAGGTCAACCCCAAAATGGTAGGTTGAATTTTTTGACATTCGGATGAGACAATGCAATTATAAATAATCCACTTCTCACTTTTTAGTTTATTCTATAGAATTGGAACTATAAAGCTCATGTTGAAGTGGCAAGGCTGCATGTCTATCCTAATTTGTGTTATGGAATTGGAGGTTGGTGAGGAAAGTGTAAAAGGATACACAAGTCAACGACAGAAGTAGCATTCTAACCTCTTGTTCTTTTTTTTCTTACACGGGGCCTAAAGTTGAAACTAAGTTGAACTTAATATTCTTATTTTGTTCCTTCTATTTTTCATCTAATGAAAAACTTGGCGCTGTTTTCATTTACCCTATTAATCAATAGAAACATTATTTAATACTAATAAGTTAATAAGAAGTTACTGACTATTAACTAATCGCACCCCTTGTTACCTAATAACTAAATCATGGACATAATTTTTTAATTAAAAATGATTTTGAAGTGCAAAAAAGGTTATCTTTCACTAACATTGGTATGTTTAATATTAGAGTGTAATGTATGAAATTATATGTTTAAAGTCGAAGACCTAAATTCATTAATATTAATGGTTGTAATTATACATCACGTGAACTATTTAGCATAAAACTGTTTTAGTTTAATTAATAATTTTTAAATTAATTTAATTAAATATCTAATCCTACAAAAGTTGTATAATTTAGATTTCTTTTTATAAAATATTTTATTATGATATAATTTTATTTTTTGTAAATTATTATTTTTAATTTCTTTAACTGACGTGATTTAACTAATTCTTGATACTTAACAATATTATGGACCACATCAGCTAAATAATTAAAAATAATAATTTTTTAGAAAATAAAGATTATTTTCTAACTAATTTTTTTTATAAAAATTAAGTTTAAATTGTATAATTTCATAAAAAAGTAAACATTTAGTTAAATATTTTGAATTTTAATACATAATTAATAAGTAGCTTAAATGTTTTAAAAAATTACTGTATCTATAATAATTTTACTTTAAAAATGCATTCTTTTTAAAAATATTGATAGAATTTATGCTAAAAAAATTGTGGGCGCATAAGAGAGGAGTTGAGGATCCTACGTGGGAAGAGAGACAGAGATGAGAAAAGTGGGGCCGAGAGTACAACATTTGGCAGTTCTGTTTATTATTCATTCAGCAAACGATTCCTTTCCCTGCATTCATCAACAGCAGCGTCACAAGTCAGAACCAACCCTTTCTCTTCTTCTCCTCTGAGAAGAGAGAATCCAAACGCATCTCACAATTCGCCTTTCCCATGATTTTTACCATTTAAATTTCGCTTCTTGCATTCTAAAACCCAACATGTGCTTCACCCTTTCTTCATTGAATTCCCCGTAACGGAGCTGAAATGTCTGTTACGGAGCTGAAGGAGCGTCACTCCGCTGCCACCCTCACTGTCAACGACCTCAGGGACCGCTTAAAGCAAAAGCGTTTTTCTTTGCTTGATACAGATAGTAAAGTTTTTTTCTTTTCATTTTTTTTATTTGTTGGGAAACCATTTATTTGTACGTTGAACTTGTAGCCTCGTGCTAATAATTGGTTTTAGATCTTGCTAACTGAACTCGTTGTTTCATGGGAATTTTTCAGTTGCTGGGTACGCAAGGTCTCAGGGTAGAACACCCCTCAGCTTTGGACCTACGGATCTGGTTTGCTGTAGAACGTTGCAGGGTCATACAGGAAAGGTACCCTTTTTCTTTTCTTTCATTTGTGAATGTTGATAGTGGACATAGCAAGAATCATCATGTTTTCATATACTATTTAGTGATGTGTCCAGAGTTTGTTGTGGATTTCTTCTAACCATCAGGTTTGCAGATTTTATTTTGATTTCATGTTCCTTTCAAATTTGCAGGTGTATTCATTGGACTGGACTTCTGAAAGGAATCAGATTGTTAGTGCATCTCAAGATGGGAGATTAATAGTGTGGAATGCTCTAACTAGGCAGAAAATTCATGCCATAAAGCTGCCTTGTGCATGGGTCATGACTTGTGCTTTCTCACCAACTGGTCACTCTGTTGCATGCGGTGGTCTTGATAGTGTTTGTTCTATCTTCAATCTAAATTCAACTACTGATAAGGATGGGAATCTACCTGTTTCTCGGATGCTTAGTGGACATAAGGGTTATGTTTCCTCTTGTCATTATGTTCCAGATGAAGACACTCATTTGATTACTGGTTCTGGTGATCAGACGTGTGTATTATGGGATATTACCACTGGCCTTAAAACATCTGTCTTTGGAGGGGAATTTCAGTCTGGACATACTGCAGATGTACTTAGGTATGACAATTGTTTGTTGAATCAATTTGAACCAATATTTGTCGTTTAGGTGAATTATTATCTCCTCCTTTGTATTTTGAGTTTACTATGCCTGATGTCTACCTTCCATCTGTTATGAAAATCTACAAAAAGAGCACTCCTGTGTCTTCACAAAAAACTTAACAACTAACTCCAAAATACTGGCAAGACCAGCAGATTTGTCAGATCATGAATGTTTTATGGTCAAATATGATTCCTACCACTTTTCAATCTTGCGGTTGAGAAAAAGAGCACATTCATTTGGCAGTGCAGCAGATTTGAATGTTCTTGGCATCCAGTCATTTGTTTCTTCCCTACACTCATGATAATGTCTTAGTTATAGAATCTGTTAGGCATAGTAGTGTAATTGATCCTCTCGAACAAACTAACTACTGTAACTATCCCGAACTAATTTCCCTCCCCTTCTGCCCTAACTCTTGACAGGCTGTGCAAGAGATGCAAAATAAAAGGGAGGCAAGAATAACTTACTCTTGTTGCTTTGGATTTGTTGAATAAATTGACCCAAAAATAATGACCAGTTTAGCTTCAAAATGAAAAGCATCTGCATAAGTTTAATTTCTTTTTTAACACATGTTGATGAGTTATGAAATCTTGTTGGTGTCAATGTACTGGTTAAATGCGACATTTCTTTTCAATATTACTCCCTCCGATCCTTTTTATAAGGAACAAAATAAAGTATTTTCTTGGTTCTAATTATAAAAAATATACGGTAGATTTAAGATGTCTTAATTGGGAATTTCTTTTTATACCTTTTTTTATTAGTGTCATTAAATATACAAGCCATTAACCACACTATTTAATATCATGAATATTTTTAGAATAAAATTTATATTTATGAAAAATATATATATATTTTTTTTGTCTCAGTGATTTAGTCTTTTATTTCTTATAAAAAAAACTAAAAGGAGTATTTGTTAGTGTTAAATCCTTTTTGAGAAATATAATATTGCTTTATCTTTTCTCAGCATCTCCATTAATGGATCCAACTCAAGACTGTTCGCATCTGGTTCTTGTGATGCAACTGCTCGATTGTGGGATACTCGTGTGGCAAGTCGAGCTGTGCGGACATTTCATGGGCATGAGGGAGATGTTAATGCAGTCAAATTCTTTCCAGATGGAAATAGATTTGGAACCGGCTCAGATGATGGAACTTGCAGATTGTTTGACATTAGGACTGGACACCAACTTCAAGTGTATTATCAGCAGCACAGTGACAATGACATCCCACCTGTGACTTCCATTGCATTCTCTGTTTCAGGAAGACTTCTTTTTGCTGGATACACCAATGGAGATTGCTATGTTTGGGACACCTTATTGGCAAAGGTACCTGGTGCGCTGGTGAAATATACAGCAACCTTAGGGGGCTTTCTTTCTGGTCACACTACAATTGAGACCAGTTTAGTTTTTTAACAGAACACGTGTTTGCTTCTTTGCAGGTTGTCTTGAATTTAGGATCTCTCCAAGACTCCCATGAGGACAGGATCAGCTGTTTAGGTTTGTCAACTGATGGAAGTGCCTTGTGTACAGGAAGCTGGGACACAAACTTAAAGGTGAGCATGCATTTTGGCCTTGTTGAACAGCTTTTACGTTAATGATACACAGTTGGGTTACCACTTTTGAAATTAGCTTCTATTTGTGGTTGATATTTGTGTTGTACTCTTGTTTTATTAGCCACTAGATTAGAGGATGAAAAACATTAGAGTAACTGAATTTATATGCTTCCATTCTTCTACTGTTTAAAATTTAAATATATAGGAATTATCCCCCACCTATTCTTCCCTAAGAAAAAGCAACATGTTGACAGATGCTTAAGGGCTTGCCGGAATTTAACGAGCAGTTGGTATTTCAAAACATGATTCGTTTATGAATGTAAAGGACCTGAGTTTATATAGATTTTAATATGTTCATAGATATAATACTTTGTGAGGCGCAGGTATAAACCTCACTTGGGTGACCATCCGATGCGGTATTTTCTGGATATCATCTATCACTTAGAAGAGCTTCGTTTAATTTCATATTAATTGTAAAAGTGGTTGTGGAATGGAGATAGCTCTTGTTCATGTGCTAACTACTTTCCTCTTGCAGATATGGGCATTTGGAGGGCATAGGAGGACTACTTAAGCCATTTAAGGGCTACTAAAACGATACTTCGCAGGGCGTTGTGGTTGATCACAATCCAGCAGTGATGATCAAATTGGAGACTAAAAGCATGGAATGCAAAGGTTATATAGCTCTTCAGCCTTGCAACTAGTGCAGCGAGTATGTTTATCCTAATGTCTGTTTGTCCATGTGTGTGATCTAGTACTCTTTCCATTGTACTAACCGCTTCGGTAACTATACCTTGAACCAAAATGAAGGACTTGTTTTCCACTCTCTTGAGCGTAGCACACTATACCAATCCTTTTTAACTGTCACAATTTTGTACTGCTTAAAAGAACTACCTTGCATTTATTAAATTTTACGGCAAAAAATGAAGTGACTCAAAAGTGTCCGAAACTATATAAAATAAAATTATTTTTATTAACATTTCAACAAAAGGTATAACATGATGGATTTTACACGAAATATCCATACACAAGCTGTTACTTAAAACTTCAATGAGAATTTCTTGCCGTGGGTTTTACCATAATTTGTGCTACATAGAAGGGAATAAAAAAATCACTCAACTTTCTCTTAAACACAATAAGGTAGCCGACTTTAGTGAAGATAAAATTAGTTGTTGATGGTGTTCCTCTAAAACACCCATTTTAATGGAAGTTGAGTCAGTGACCGCCATAGATGTTTTTTCTTTCTTGGTTCTGTAAAACCATAATTCAGAGAGCTACGAGGGTAACCTCACTTCAATTATGAGCCTTACCTAGTCTGGTGATTCTATGTGGGTGCTATTGTTGAATGCGGCCATTAGAGCTTTCTCAAACCCCGCTTCTGCCGTGCCCAGTATTCTGTATGCATCTTATTTTCATTTTATTTGAGTGTAATAATTACTCAGGTTCAACTTGAGATATATTCAAGTGTATACATTGTAATATGCATTGAATAGTCTGACTACTTTTTGAGTCCTTTTTTCGCCGCTTAAGTATGTCAAAAAAAGGAAAGGACTTTAAGGTCATTGTAGTGAAAGCAGCTTTTACGGGCAGCACATCTACATCACTGAACCACAGTGCATCTCAATCATGATACTAAAAAACGTAGATTTCAAGCACTAAAAGAAGGATCCTTTGCACTAAACAATTGATGTTTTAACAAATATCCAAATCAATGAGAATAACAAATGGCAAATCCCCAAAATTCGCATTACAGTTGCTACAAAGAAATGAAGTATAATCATGACACCCAACGAGATACTTGTCAGTATCGTTCCTAGTCTATCAAGCATGCAATGAGTGACCGATAAATTGCATATACTAAGCCCAAGCGTTAAGGTTTCGCAATTCTTTACACACGCCTATGTGGCTGCTTACACCAATCTCACTAACAAAAAGGGAGGCCGAGATCCTGACTTAAGTGAACTAGCCGCTTGCCACAATCTCATGAATGGTATCGCTGACAGTTTCATCCTCAGATCTGACGGCCAGTTTCATCGCAACATCCTTTGGGCCATCAAGTCCAAAAGACAACCGCACAAGCACCTTCACATTTCCTATGAATATACCTGACAATAAGCACGTGTGTGACCGTGAATTGGGTGGGACTACCTCGGTGCCCTGCAAATAGTGAACAATAAAATTATGAAAAAGAATATATCAACCTCCCAGAAGATAGTGAATAACTAATGAACAACCCTGATAAAAGATGCTCCATTCTTTGCATCGGAAAAAATATTAGATGTGTGAAGTTAGAGATATCTTGCTCAGTGGCATGGTTACAAGCCAAACGTCTCATAATGGCAGACATTTACCACAGCAGCAACTGACATCAGAGGCTTACCTCACAAGGCTGCATGCCAAGTAGATTGATGACGGTATTTACAGCTTCAGCCAAGCTCTCCCTTGGACCTAGACCATACTCATCCACTCGTTCATAGTCAGGACCCATGCTTTCCCACGCACTCCTGAAATTAGACACCCCCACTTTCAATATGTAATCTGCCGCAACAACCTCCAAATCCTCCAGCTGGTATTCATCTTCAACACCATCATCTTCTGCCTCACCAGTGGTTGGGTCAACCTGTTCAATATCCAATGTATGAAGCAGGGATGAGATTTCCAGAAAATATCATAGGTTTTATTTTCGATACACTCCCTGCTGGAGAAAAAAAAAAAGCTTCATGCTTGTAACATGCACATCACAATATATATATTGGGGGTCTAGGACAACAAAAAAAAACATAAGACTTTGCTGCAAGGATAAAAAGGGGCAAGTACCTCTTTAACAATAAATTTCAGAATGTTAGAAAATTTTCCAGCAGTTGGCAATCCCTCAGGCTTCTCAAATGCCACAAAAGTCTGCCCAGGTGAGTCGTAAGGAAGAGATCTGAGAGGCTTTGAGAACACCTCAGAAAATTCTTCTGCTTCTGAAGCATCCACAATTACAATAACCTGGAATTGAGGGAAAAAATTATACAGAAGACATGGAGTAGCATTATTGTATGAAATTGTAAAGTATCTATATTAGTCATTACATCTTCCAATAATTGTTCTGGTATTGTGTTTGTGCAGTTGTACTGAAATACAACATGCCTATCAAAAACGTGTTTAACAACATTAACTGCATATTCTGTCTCCGCTTCAGTAAGCTCCACAGGTGCAGAGGACTGGTAAGAAATATAACATCAGAATACATATTGCATTAGACATAAAGAGAGTAAATATAAAATTATAGAAGGTGAAAGAAGGATTGAGTAAAATAACCTTAAAAAGCTTCCCAAAGTTTGCAAACTCAGGAATGGATAGAAGCAGCCTTTCATATGCATCGGCAGTAGATGGGGGGCCACTAGGAGGAGCACCCAAACCAGTTGGTTTTTTGCCAGGGGCTTTCTTCTCTGCAAGAGGCTGAGACTTGACCTCCTTGGGCACTGAATTAATGTCAAAAGCCTCTTCTGAAGGCTCCTGCATTCACATTAAAATCATGAGATATTACCCAAGACCTTAACTAATGAAATGAAAGGAAAATGGAGAGGACTAACATAGTTTTTCAAACTAGTTTCCAGATTGACAAGTGGAACATCAAGTGACCCAAAGAGGAAGTCCTTCACATCTTTATCAGTCTCAATGACTGAACCATCACCTCCAAGTGTGTTCAGATAAAGTGTTGCTCTATCACGAACCTGCATACAAGAAATAAAAATCATCCAAATGTAAATCAAATCAACAACAGGTCTAGACACCTGCAGAGCTGGAAATTGTATTATCACATAAACCATGGAATTATAGAGATGCTGTTGTAAGATACAACAGAGAAATTCACCTCATCATCACTGTCAAAAACACACCGCCTTAGCAGAACAAATATGCGGGGCTGAAAAAAGAGTAATTATGAGGTTTTAAATAAACTGAAAATATCACACCCAAAGAAATAAAAAATCTAATAGATATATACTAGAGAAAATAATTAATACACAAAGGCGAGTAACACCTTTAATGCATCAACTGCAGCACCAAACTTTGCCAGAGTGCTCACAGCACTTGCCCTAACGGTAGCATTCTCAAGATGCACTCTGTTATAAATATAACGAATATATTTGCTGGGGTCTGATGTTTTCGGTCCTTCAACTCCCAGGAAGTGCAGTATCTAAGGTACACAGGAAAATTAACAACAAAGATAGAGATCCAAAACCACACACAGTAAATGACACAAACACAACCAAAATTACTACCTGTGTGGACAAATAAGTGAATTCACAATCTTCAATGAACTCACAAAGATGAAGCAACCCACTTTCCTTGGCATCGGGGATATCTCTAATAAGAATCACAATTGAATCTACAATTGCTTTCTTGTATTCAAAGCCACCTTCTTCCCTAAGAATGTTACTCAGGAAATTCATCCTGAAAATAATAACAGGGCAGAAAGCAGTGTTTAGATAATTTATCTAGGAAAAGTATTCAAATGAAAGATGTAGTATCTGGGGGAATGAAACCTATAGAATGACATATACTCACAGAGATCTATATTTTAAAGGGAATTTCAAGCACAATGATCTTATTGCTTCAACAACAACAATTTTGAACTCATCAGCAATATCAGACATGAAATTTGTAATCTGCTTCATAAGACGGTCCACACTTGATTCATTTCCTGTCTTCAAAAGAGTTGTAATAGCAAGTGTAGCAATGCTTCTGTTCTGGTCAGAGATTAAACTTTCCATATCAATGTTGCAGTTAGTGACTGCCATTGGATGTGTCATTGCCACCTGCAACATTCAAAGCCACACTCAACAAATATTAATAGAAATAACTATCAAGTTTGACACATAACTTATGACAAAAGCTACAATACCATATTTAGGAGCATGAAATTTTTTATGATTTTCTATCAACACCCCCAAAATGATAGCAGGCAAAAAAGCAAAATGCGCACTCCAGAAGAGTGAGGATTATCATACATCCTTTTCCAAATACTATCAAAATATAAATAGTATCTCTACTGAAATCTAAGTAATTAAAGAACATTAACCTTATTTAAGGTGCGGACAGCAGCAAATCTCAAGACTGGCTTAGAAGAACTTAAGAAGAGCTGAAGAACAGTAATTGCCGGGGTTAATTCTCGGGTAGTTACACCATTGAGCTCTGTAATTGCCTTGGCAGCTTCAAAAATTACCATCTCTGACTTGTGACGAAGGCAACTCTCAAGATAATCATAGAAGGGGCGTTCCCCTGGTTGTGTATTATTTCCTGACTCACGAATAACCTGCAGATATTGTACTATATAAAGACTGCAAATATTATCATCCCAGGGACAGCTATTTTAGAAAAGGAAAACACACCTGACTTGTATAACGAATCAAAAGGCATTGGGCCAAAGGAGAGCGCACATTTCCCCTGGTCAAGCTGGTAACCAGCTTGCTAACAGCTAGTCGATCATTCTGCCGTATCTGCAATGTTGTAAGCCACTGTGCATCAATACTCCATTTAAAAATCTGTTTGTTTTCTATGATAATATGTTAAGATCCAATTGCAAGATCCATGACTTGAGTCCCACATTGGAAGTATGGGATTCTAACATGGGGTTCATAAGGTCTTGGGCTCTCTCACTACAATAGCTAGCTTTTGTGGTGTTGTTCTCCCAATGTTCTTATCAATTGGTATCAGTGGTGGGATGTTAAGATCCAATTGCAATGTATGGGACTTGAGTCCTACATTGGAAGTATGGGATTTTAATGTGGGGTTTATAAGGCCTTGGTCTCTCCCACTACAATAGCTAGCTTTTGTGGTGTAATTCTCCCAAGGTTCCTATCCTAATAAAAGTAGGATCCTCATATGGCAAAATCAAAATTATGTGATGTAGAATTTCCATCATTGTCATGCTTAAATAGTAACTCCAAAAGACCATTATATACAATCAATGTAGACAAATTTCTACTTACTTACCACAAGAGGTTGAAAGCATAAAACAACCTTGGCAAAATTCAGCAAAACAATTGATATTCATTCTTCACAACTTTTCATGGTGCTATATAATGCAGGCACTTGTAAATTGCTGCTATAGTTGAAGCTAAGAGTATGAATAGGAGTGCACTACAAGTTTCAGTCACAAAAGACGGCATATACCATAAGATGGACAAGAAACCAAGAAATCAAATATCAACTTCTGTAGCTGTATTTCAAGTTCTGCTTTCTTTCGTATAGGTAAAATCAGCTACTTAATAAGTTTATACAGAAGTCAAATCCCTTAAATAAAAATTTATTTTATTGGTGAATCAGTGGAAAGGTTTTGTCATGAACCAATCATTCCAAAAGCTTAAGATGTTAGGTGACGGCACATGAATGGTTTTTATATCTAACACACTCCTTTACACAAGAGTTTTTTGGGCTCAAATTATGGACAGTGCACAATTCCATCTATCCTATGCTAGAATTGAACTTATAGAAAAGTGGTGGTAATAAAGATCAAACTCCAGAACATTTGGTTAGAAAGATTCTGATACCATGATAAGAACCTAGCCAACTATCACAAAAGCTTAAGTAGTTAAGTCAAGGCATATGAAGAGTTTTTACATCTAACAGGTTTAAAAGGAAATAATGAAAGACTAGCTCATACTGAATATTTAATGAATTTCAATTGTGATAAACCAAAAAATTGACCAAGCATTAAAGTGCTCTTGCTACAGATCACAATGAAAGATGAATTATATTGAGGCACTGAATTAGAAATGATCTAGAAGAATGACAGAGTTTTGCTTTTTCAGAATTTGATTTAATAGAAACCTTACATTATCAGACCATTCATGAAGCATACCTGATGCAGCAGAGCCAGCGCATGAAATTGTACAAGAGCTGCCCTTGATTGAACAGCTTCCTGAACCTCATTGCTCCACCTTTTTACAATCTCAGGATTTGTCTGATAAGGGGAACATAAAATAAGCAAGGAACATAAATGGAATGTAGAGATAGGAAGAATCACAAATATTTTCTAAAATTACCTGGAGTAGATGAATGCCACTAACAAGGGCCGCACTTGCAACAACTGGATTCTTATCAACAATTGCCTGTTTTAAATACCGCTCGATCTGGGTAAGGAGAGTTCCGTCCGTGATACGACAAAGCACACGAATGGCATTTGCCCTATACATATCAGTCTTACTATTCATGTCCTTCATGAGAGAGCTTGTGACAATAATAACCTTTTGAAAAAGACAAAAGAGATACAACAGTAAGAATTTCAGTTTGTAATATACATACCATATACATGAATCTGATTAGTAATATAAATTGTATGAGAATTTGTAATTGTAACCTCATCTGCAGAGGGGGAGAGTTCTTTTATCATCAGGTAGACCATTCTCCTTAACCCAAGATCTCGAGACTGGAAAAGCTTAGTCACAGCAAAGAAAACTTCCGTGGCTTCGATCTATGAAATTGCAACAAGAACAAATTTAATGATAAAGGATTAACAACGACTCTAACATAATTCTACAAAGCCAATTTAAAAACAAGCAAGAATCCTTAAGAAATAAAATGACAAAAGTGAAACCTCTTGACCTTTGTAAATGTCTCTCCCTGATTCAGTAGGTACAAAAGTTTTGTGATAACCTGGAAAAAAGATAACAAACATGTGCAACGTCAAATTCAACCATGGAATAACAAAACGAAAACAAAAGATAAATAAATAAAAACCTGCGAACATCTCCTAGCATCTAGTTGCGGGTCATTAAAAACCCTGGCCTCCTGAAGAACAGCTCCCTTTTCAATCCCCAAAAAGGGAGAATACTCAGCTGTTAAACAACCAAAAGAATCCGAATTAATCAAAGAATATGAGAACTATTCAAACAAGCCAACAATTGCACATAATTAGTGATCTGCATTGAAATTCCAACTTAAATGGCTAGATCAATTCAAGTTTCTTAAACGAAGAGGAACCGGAATCAGATCAGAGGAGAGGCAAGTCGGAGTTCAAATCCAATCCAAGTATTGTGATGTATGCGAAGCCTAGCGCATTCGCAATTGGAAATGGAAATTAAAATTGGATCTGGAAGCGAGAGAGAGTGATCCAGCAGTGGGAAGAAAGGGTGAACGAGAGAGAAGATCGAATTGCGAAAGAGAAGAGCAGAAAAGTGGTGAAGAAGGAATCACCTTCGTCGTCGCGGTCATCGTCCTTCTTCACGAGTGGCTGAGCCATGGGAGGAGGAGGTGAATCTCTGAGATCTGAAAGGTATGCAATATCGAGAGTTGAGGTGCCTCTGCGATGCGAGTGCACCACTCAAGTTAGTTTAAAAACGAAGAAAAAGAAGAAGAAAAATGCGAAACGGAGGAGAAAAGAGGGCTTTGTAGTTGTACTCTCAGATTGGGTTGGGTGGACACTACCGCTGTCTATTACCGTGTTACCGTCAGCTCTATACATATTATGCCTTAAAACTAATTAACACTTTTATTGATTAAACATTTAAAAACATTGTAATATAATTTTTTTTTATGAGTGTCTTAAAAGTACATACGATTAAAAAAATTATTATCTTTAACAAAATATTTTTTATTTTTTAAAGGATATGAATATCAAGTATCTTTAAGATTCAAGTTAAGTAATTAATTAATTAAAATATTTTACAAAAAAATTATTACAAAGCATTAATAATATTAAATGTTTTCCACTTTTTATAAATAAGTATTTAAATTTGTTTTATCTTTATAAATCCAACTTGTTATTTTTTAAATAAATATTCATAAAGTTTGTTATACAATATTTTAATTAAAAAAATTATTGAGTGGTGTACCTTTAAAAGTCACTTCAACATTTAGTTAGTATTTATATCAATGGAGTAATAATAGAAAAAAAAATTATAAACTTGTTTATTGTTAAATTTTACAATTAGCTAAACAAATAAATTCAAATGAGTAATTTAAAATTTTAATTTTAGATCTCTTTTAAGTTTTTTAAGTATATTTTTAACATGCAAATGTCGTAGAAAAACATAAATTTAAAATACACAAAATACAAGAAGAATAAAGATATAATAAAGATAAAATGAAAAATATTTGTAGAAACAAACTCAATTAGAATTAGATTATTGAACATAAACATACAACTTTCACGATCAATATCACAACTAGTTGATTTTCTGGTTGCCGGTCTAGCAGAGTGTAGAACTTTTGTCTTTTAAAGATTTTGAGTATAATAGTTTTTGTGTAAAAGTCATAAACCCTAAATTTATGAAAATAATGTTATTTATAGTAAATTTTTCTAACTGCTTATTTTTTTTCACATGAGCTCCTCCTAACTTCTTTTTGTATGTATGTAATTGTCATTTTTATTGTTTATGATCTTCTTCACATGTCTTGATCTTTTGTCGGTGTCAACCATTGATAACTGTTAATAACCGCTCCTAAAAGACTTTTGACTTATTTTTTGAGATATTTTTCTATTTTTTATATCTCTATCTGATTTCTTTGACTTGAAATATTTCAACTTTCTTTTGAAATACATTACCTTTTCAATCAGTTTTCATAAAATTGTGTCGAAATAATTAGGGCATGTTTGTTCACTCCTTTTAAATATAGTTTTCTGTTCTTAAAAAATAAAAAACATAAAAACTTGTTGTTAATTTAAGTTTTAAAAATAATTTTTTATTTTCAAATTTTAAAACTAAAAACCAGAATATTTCATAGGGTGTTTTTGTTTTTACTTTTTCATTTATCTCCCTAAAACTTGAAAAATAAGAAGGATTTTATTTTCATTAATGGCATTTTTGTAAATTAAGGAAAAAAAGCAAATGGTGATAATGTTGGATTTAAGATTCTTATGGCACCTCACATGTTGGGTTTAGGTTTCTTAAGACACCTCACATAAATCATCTCAAGAGAATGTGAAAGAATCACACATTATAGTATAAGTTTAATAAGTACTCAAATTTTTTTCTTTTCTCATCTTAATTTTTTTTCAACGTTATTGATTTTGATTTGAAATTAGATTCTTACTCACAACAACTACCAACACATCTTATATTTTTTTTCTTACTTAAATATCAAAATATATTCAAGTAAATTAAAAAAAATACTAAAACTAAATGTAAAAAAATAATATATATATATATATATATATATAATACTAAATTAAAAAAAGTAAATAAAACCAAACTTATTTTCTATTTTAGTTTTTAAAACTTGTTTCCAAAAATAAATTTATCAAACAAGTTTTCTTTTTTCTTTTATCTTAAAAATAATTTTAAAAATTGAACTATCAAATAAGTTTTATTTTTATTTTCTTCTTAAAAATAGTTTTATACAATTGTTTTGAAGTATAATTTTTTAAAAACTAAAAATCACTCAACTTTTGCTTGGTGAGGAGAGGAGAAAGTGTTTATTGTGCCTCTACTAGAGTTTCCCTTGCATGCGCAATGACTCAGCGCCTCAATAATAGTTTCTTTCTAAGAAATAGACAAGGATCTATTGGACCTAGGATGGAAAGATTGGAGGCAAAGAAACATTCTTCAAAAGAAGAAGACCTGATGATTAGGAGCAAGAAGAAGGGGGTGGTGGATCTTGATAGTCCTAAGGTGGATATGCAAGGAGCTAGTCAAGAAGGTTTTCAAGGCAACCACGGTATCCAAGTACTTTCTAACCATACTCATTATGGTATTGAGTCTTATAAAGATAAAGTCTTGACCTCAAAAGACTTATATCTGGTCTTTTTGAATGACGAGATTATTAAATTTGTTGTAGAGGATTTTAATATTTTGTCAGATTCTAGGGAGTTTGATATTACAACAAAAATATAACTTAAAAGTTTTTGTCCTTACCTAAAAATCGCTCTAAAAGATTATGAGGCATGTGTTCACCATGGAAGTCCATATTAATAGTAAAACTATTAGGTAAATTAGTAAGCTTCAATTACTTGAACAAAAAATTAGGTCATATTTGGAAGAGAAATGGTTTCTCAAAAATCTAAGACTTAAATAATAAGTTCTTTTTAGTTAAATTTGAAAATATAAATGATTATAAGCATGCCTTTTTCAAGGGACTTGGATTATTCTTAAGCACTACTTGTTAGTCTAATGATGGCTTAAGGAAAATAGCAGCTTGGGTGAAAATCTCAAGGGGTGTTTGGTATTCAGAATCTTTTAACTTTCTCAAGAATATTACTTAAAAAGTTTTCTTACTCATGTTTGGTATAAAATACAAAAAAATAAAAATAAAAATTCTCGGGAATGTGAGATTTTCTAAAAACTTAAATTGTGAAAAAATTAAAATTTTTATTTTCCTACCTCAATAGGTGGGTATCCTCAACTTACCCAAGAATCTAAATGCCCTAATTTATCATATTTCAATTTACCAATTCCAAATCATTTTTACACACTCTTTCTTCTCTACTTTACTGGTCTCTCTCATGCTCTCTCCTCCATAGTTGCTCTGCTCCTACTTTTTAATAAACATGTGCTCTTATTTTTGTTCATTTCTTTCTCTCAATTGCCATTATTTGCCTGCTCTGCTTCTTCTTTATTTTTTTGTTGTTGTTTCACCTGTTGTAGTTAAAATCAAGTGATAGGCCTCTTCCTATGTCCAACGTCTAGCTTGAGCGTGTTAACTGTAAAATTTGTGACTTGTGAGAAATCAAATTAAAATACATCTAGTCATGGTTTACTTCTCTCATTGGATTCTGTTTCATTTGTATCAAATGTTGAGTTCATAATCAAAATTCATAATAGTTGCTTCATTGCTTTTCTTTCTTTCTTTTTTCCATTTTGGTTTACGTTGTTGTTTGTGGTTCGTGTCATTTTTTTTTTCTCATCATTATCTTTTGCTTATAGTTTTATGTGTATTTTCCATAATCTTTCTTTTGTTTTTTTTTTTTTTGTGTTTCTTTTGCCTAGGGTTGTTTTTCCTTATTTTAATTTTTTTATAATTATTTGTTTCCTATGGTTGTTCATATATGATATTGTGTGAATTAGTTGCAGGCTTAATTTCTGTAATTTGTTTTAGTAGTATCTTATTTCTTAGGTGTTTGGTTATATGAATTAAGAGATATTGTTTTCTCTGTATATTTTATTTCTTTGAGTTTTTTATTGCACTTCTTGTAACTTGTATGGTATATCTTGTACCCTTCTTTGCTGCATTTTTTGTTTGTTATAAATATTAGACAAAGAATAATTCTAATTTTTGTTATGTTTTTATGTGTCAGAGTTATTTGTTAATTTTGCAATTCATGGATCAATTACAAAATACAAAGAAGATGCGAATTATCACAAGTTTAATTGTTCATGTAGAAATAATAAATGATTATATTGTGATGTTAATGTCAATTTGCGCATATATAATAAGTGATTATCTTAGACATGAAAGGAATATGACTTGGAATGCATATGATAGGCGTCTAGTACGTGATGTCAATTTTGATAGGATAGTGTTTTTGTCTGATAGAGCATGTGTAGAGAACACAAGGATGGTTATAAAAAGCTTTCATTCATTGTGTCATTTATTAAAAATAATGGGTCAATTAGAACCATCCAAAAATATGGGTGTAGAGGAGATGGTGGCAATTTTTTTACATATACTTTCTCATGATGTTAAAAATAGAATAATTAAGAGGCAATTCATAGGGAGTAATGAAACAATTAATAGGAGATTCAATTATATTTTACATGCTATTTTAAGATGCCACAAATAACTCTTTAAAGAACCTCAACCAATTTAAGAAAATTGCATTGACGGAAGGTGGAAGTAATTCAAGGTAAATTTTAAAAATTTTAATAAAAGAACATCATAATTTCATTTATAATTTTTCAATAATTGTGATTCTGGTTGTTTTTTTTTTTTTTTTGTTAAATGTAGAATTGTTTAGGAGCACTAGATGAAACGTATATCAAGGTTAATGTTTTAAAAGCTAATAAACCTAGATACAAAACAAGAAAGGGAGAATTAGCAACCAATGTATTGGGAGTTTGTTCTCAAGATATGCAATTTATTTATGTCTTGCTTGGGTGGGAGGGTTTAGCTTCAAATGCTAGGGTTCTAAGAGATGTCGTATCTCGTAAGAATGGCCTAAAAGTTCTACAAGGTATAATTAATATGCATTTCAAAGTCTTTATATATTGTGACAATCAAATTATTTATAGTTGCATATTTTACAATAGGTTTTTACTACCTATGTGATGCTGGATATATGAACGGAGAAGGATTCCTAGCTTCTTATAGAGGACAAAGGTACCATTTAAAAGAATTAAGGCATAGCTCGCAACCTACAACTCCACAAGAGTATTTTAATGTGAAATATTCCTTTGCTAGAAATGTAATTGAAAGATGTTTTCGGTTACTAAAATGACGATGGGCTATTTTGAGAAATAAGTTTTTTTTATCCAGTTAAGACTCAAGTAAGAATAATTT